GGCGATTGTACACAAGCACAGACTTAGTGCTGAGCACAAAACAGAGAAATAAAACAAACCCAACCAAGAGCGACAGACGGACGGCCACACACACTGGCGTCATCTTGAATCGTCGTTATTAAACAACGAGATTTGTCGGCCGGCGCAGTGCACGGGCCAACCTAGAGGGGCTGTTATGGAAAATCTGCGGCAGCTGGCGCGCACTTCCTCCGCTGCTGCAGGGTCTACATTGGACAGTATCAGGATGTGTGTGGTCAACGCAAGATCCGTTACCAACAAAACTTTTATCCTCAGGGACTACTTTCAAGAGCACGAGTTGGACTTTTTCTGCATCACAGAGACTTGGATGTCTCCGGGTGAGTCCAGCACCTTGACGGAATTATTGCCACCAAACTGTCTGTATTTTAACGCACCGCTGCCATTAGGCCGGCGCGGTGGAAGATTATTAACAATATTCAAATCAACTTTTGCCTGTAAACAACTGCCCATCCCGGCTTCCTACACAAGATATGAGCTGAGCGTCTTTGAACTCGGCCATTTGACTCCGACGTTATTTGCACTCGTCTACCGCCCACCTCAATCTAAGGATTTCATAAATGAGTTTTCTGATTTTTTTGGCTGAAATCACGCCAAAATATGATCATGTTTTCATTATTGGGGACTTTAATTTGCATGTGTGCTGTCAAGAGAAGCCCTTGGTTAAGGACTTTTTAGATTTATTGGACTCATTTAATCTAACGCAGCATGTAAACGGTCCCACCCAAGAGCGCGGACATACACTGGACCTTGTTTTAACTCATGATGTGACTGTTAGTAATCTTGAAATCGGTGATAATGTTTTTTCAGACCACATGCCAGTCCGGTTTGAGTTCACCCTCCCCCGTCTAACTCCTAAGCCGTGCATTCCTGCACGTCGCAGTCGGTCCATTAACCACTTCACTGCTGCACGTTTCACAGATGTTTATAACTCTGAAATGATAATTCAGCCCCAGTGTTTCTCACCACCACCACTGAGGAGCTGACATCCCAGTTCAACTCTGTCTGCTCCGGTTAAAATTAGACAATCAAAATTCAGAGCAGAACCTTGGCTGAGTGACGTCACCAAGGCCGCTAGACAGCAGTGCAGGAGGGCGGAGCGCAAATGGAGGAAAGACAGGCTGCAGGTCTCTTTTCAAATACTTAAAGAGAGTTGGCGCTGTTATCAGTAAACAGTAAAAGCTGCTAAATCCAAATACTTTTCTGATATAATTACCTCAAACTCTCACAACCCACGTGTCCTCTTCTACACCCTAAATTCTGTTCTCTACCTCACTGAACCATCTCCTCTGGAAGCCTCGACTGAGCTGTGCGACAACTTCTTACATTTCTTTTTAGAAAAAATTGTGACCACCAGGGCTCTCATTTCCCCTCCAACTCATGACCCATCCATCCCACCTCAATCTGTAGCTCTATTTGACCATTTTGAACCCATCACTCTATCTTCTCTAGAGCAGGTCATGTGCAGCTTGAAACCTTCTAGTTCCCCTTTGATGTGGTCCCCCCCTCGAATACTAAAGGAGGTTTTTCCTACTCTAGGTCCGTCCATTCTTACTATAGTAAACAGTAGTTTATCCACTGGCGTGGTGCCAAAATCCTTTAAACATGCTGCTGTCCAGCCTCTCCTGAAAAAAAAAAAACCTTGACCCCTCAGTCGTTTCCAACTTCCGGCCTGTCTCCAGACTCCCATTTGTTTCTAAAGTACTGGAGAAAATAGTCGAGTCCCAGTTGAAGTGCTTCCTGGAGGATCACGCCATCTTAGAGCTTTTCCAATCTGGCTTTAAACCTGTCCATAGCACTGAAACTGCCCTGCTGAAGGTTTTTGTAGTGAACCTAACCTGATGTCAAGACTAACCTAAGGTCAAAACACTTGACCTTAAGAACCTTGTGGGACAGAAACTGTTATTTCATTGATCTGCATCCAGAAATACAGTTTGACCCATCCTGAGACTTTCTTTCTTGAATTAATCAAGTAGAAATGACAATTCTCTATGATCATTACTATTTTACAAATGTTTTAATGATCAAATTGTGTTAGTTCAAACAATGTTTACAGGTTGAAGAGAACTACTCATTTTTATTTACATAAACAGTAAGTAATGATTTTTATTCCTCATTCAAAGAAGAAATCAGGGTAATATGCATTTCTTGATTTTTCTGTCTTCAATGAGCAAGTTTGTAAGTGTGTGTTAAAGTTCAGGTTTCGGTCAACTAAAAAGTTTACTGAAAAGAAATGTCATGTTTAACTTTTACAGAAGATACAGGAGAGTTTGACTCCACGAAGTCTGGTTTTCTCCAATAATCTTTCTGTCTGTTTTAAACAATCTTAATCTCTATCCTTGAATTTTCATAACACCTTACATCACAAACCACACCTCTGTTCTGGTCCATCCACCAATTAGAAAGCTCTCAAATGAACCGGAAGTCGACCCATTTAAATGTGGCAACTTCCCAGTTCAACGCTCTCAGATGCAGCTCATGGAGAAGTGTCAAAAAAGGGTCTGATGTCTGTGTCGAGTCTCTGTCGAAGAGAGACGCGACGAGATG